GAGCTGGTCTTCAAACTACAATCTGCCTCCAAACTAGCTAAGATTACAGGTGTGAGCCACCCTACCTGGCCTGGTAATGCAATTTCTTTTTTATTTATTTATTTTTTATTCATATGTGCATACAATGTTCGTGTCATTTCTCCCCCCTTGCAATTTCTGATGGACCAATGGAAGTATTTCCAGAAAAAAATAAAAATAGTCTATGCAAATGAGAAAAATAAATCTCAAGTTTTTCTAATATGAAAAGTGAGATTCAAAATGTTTCTTCACTAATAATTACCTCAAATATTTCTTCTCACACTTTGGGGTGCTCTATTGCTTAATACTATAGCAGGATCACCTAAGAAAAGCCTTCTCCTTAGCATTTAATGGGTCTCCACTGAACTGCAGAGAGCCACAGTGACTTTCTAATGTAACAATCCAGATACAGAGCTCATATCTTCAGGACCAATGTTGTATCTTGTATGCTGTATTCCTACAAGAGTCTGTGTTATCTATCATTTATTGTCAATACTCAATGGAACTATTAATACCTCAAGAAAACAAGAGAAGTTAATAATAGAATATGGTTTAATACTGCAAAAATGGACTAGTTCCTGAAGGTGAAAGTGATAGTGTTATAGAGCCAAACAGGGTGTGCATGCCTGTAGTCCCAACACTCAGAAAGCTGTGGCAGGAGGATGTGAGTTCAAGGCCAGTGTGATCTGTACAGTCAGAAGACCATATCTCAAAAAAAAAAAGCCCAGCAAAAGTGATAGTCTTACATCAGTGTAGATTCTCATGGTCTCATAAATGCTTTACCTGAAGCTGCATCAGAATCTTGTGGACCAGTGAAGGCAAATGGATCATGGGTGTAGACAATTATCTTCAAATGCACTTATTGAGGAGGCCACTGGTTTAACTAGGAAGTATTATCTGTACCAGGACTGGGAGCACCTCAATTTATTTTTGCCAAGACTTTGTGTAAGGAAAGTATAATGGGGTTGGTGTGAAAAGAAGCTGTGTAAGCACTCAACAAAAACTTTTAAATGGAGCATTATTTACATTGTATTTTGTTGGTGTGGGCATTATTGTGTGTGTGTGTGTGTGTGTGTATATATATATATATATATATATATATATATATACAAACATATACAAACATGTTCTTATGTTTTGTTTTTGTCCTGGCTGGTCTCTGTGTGCTTACCTCTGTGTACAGTGACCACATCATCTCAGACAGATTTTTTAACCATCAACTGGTCATTGACTTTCCATTTTTTCACTGTACAAATGATAATGCAAATAATGAGGTGTGTGACTTTGTCATGCATACATGCTTTCGAATATTCCAGTTAAATAAACAGATGCCCCTTGGCATAGAGGATCCACTTGCTGTCACAGAAGCAATCTGTCTTCTGTGCTGATAGATGAATAAGGAAAGTTTTCCTACCCTGTGTTTGGAGAACTGAACTTCAAAGAATTAAGGATATAAAACCTAAATCTAATAATATTGTTTTTCTTCTTAATGGTATATTATCCCTGGTGGAATAAGCAATATTAAGAAAAGGAAAAGGCCACTTTGCACCTCTCATTGTGAAATTAATATGATTGTAAAGTTTCTTAAATTTAACAAACCTCTACTTGAGTTCTAGAGATGTCCAAAGGCTTGAAAAATTTTAAAAATAATAAGTAACAGAAACTCTTAGGGGAAAAAATGAAAAAGTGGCCCAAAAAGCAGAATGGCATTTTAGATTTGGAACTGGGTAGTGATCTGGTAAAGATAAGGAATAAAGAAACATGCATTGGAATAAAGAAACGGGCTAGTTTGAAGAAATCCTTTTGCATTAAGCTCATTTTAACAGAAAGTACTAATAGCACTTGATTTTTAAAAACTATGTGTAAAATTTATTTAACTCTCCAAATGATGGCAAATTCTTGGACCAAATTCTTTTGTTAAATTCAGTTTAAAAGACAAGTATATGCCCTCTTCCCAAGTTTATCACAGAGTAAAAATCACAGAGGCCTGTAGATACTTTTATATTTGAGGAATTCAATGACTATATTACTAAGAAATGGGTTTCAACAGTACTGGAAGTTCCTAAAAAATGTTACCTATCTTGTAAGTCAAATAGATCTTCACTCACACCACTTAAGATCACTGGTATGGTTTGGACATGTTCCCCAAAGTTTATGTACTGGGAACTTAATCCCCAGGGCAACAGTGTTAAGAGGGAAGACTTAATAGAAGGTGATTAGGTGATGGATAAATTAATGTGGTTACTGTGGGTTAGTATCATCTGAGTGAGTTTGTCATAACAGCCGGTTCATTGTCTCCTGCCCTCTCACCTTTGCCCTTCCTTCACGGAATTATAGGAAGAAGGCCCTGGCCACATGTGAGGGTCATGTTCTCGGACTTCATCACCATGACCCAATTAAATATCTATTCAGTATAAATTAATCATACTGTGGTATTTTGTTATTTCAGCACAAAGCAGAGGAAGGCAATTATACAAATGCAAATAACTGTGTTAAACTGAATTGGATTGTTACAACTAGTGACAATAAAATTGGTGTTTTTGCACTTCAGGGTAATACAACAAATTATGTGGATATCCAAATTCCTCTACTTTTATAAGCTGACTTAATTTTGAGTGGGTGATTAAATTTTTAGTGGCTACTTGCCAGCAAAACTGACAAGTTTTTGCTATTGACTTTATTAATACTAATTTAAAATGTAACTACACTTTAAGGGTGTGAAATAATATTAAACAGAAGGAATTTATGAAAAATTAGTTCATTAATAATTGTTAATACAAAGATTTTTAAATTAAATTTCAGGCATACAAAATGAACAAAGTTACCACACTACCTTCAAGTGGACAGGGTAAAGTCAACATAGAAAAGTCATTATCATATGCTTGATAAAATTTCTGTTGCAGTTTAAAAGTAAAATGCTAAGTTCTAACCAATATTGACATATAATGATATTTATTATTGCTATGTATGTAGATATGTTGCATGTGCTAAATTTAATAATATTTGCATGAGAAGGTTACTAAGAATATAGAGAAGATACAACTCTAACCCAGATGGCAGACATTGCTTGACCTTATACAAATCATATTCATTTTTTAGGAAATAAATTCTTTATTATAAAATTAAAAGCGTAAAACAAAATCCAAATATGACTCCAAATATTTAAAAATTAGGTGTACTAAAAACAATCAAACTTTGCTCAGTAATGTGCATGGACTCTCGTATCCTCTTTATTCTTGTTTTCAGTCCGCAAATAGTAAACCAGTTTTATGTAAAAGATAGCATGAAGTTATTCATTTCAGCTCATGATAATTTCTACTTCCAAATGTTCTGTAACACATTTCTACTTCAAAATACATATGCATATACATGCTTGGTCCTTCCATCCAATAATGTTGGAGAATTTGCAGCATGGCTCTATGAGTTAGGATTCATCCTCATTTTAAGTAGCATTAACAGTACTGTTACTATCCTTGTGGTTGGACCTCACAGTATTAAAAAGTAAACTAAGGCACCATAAAATTTTAAGGAATTTAATTCATGAATTGGGCAGCTCTAATGCAGAAGAGGTTCAGGACTCCACTGAAGGAAAGCCATGGCAGTGCTGGGCTTATACCTTACAGTCAACCAAGTAAAGCAAAGAGATTTGTGGCACTTCCCCACACACTCATATGTGTTGGTACTGTGTCTCTGTGTGTGTGCCAGATATGATTCATATCTTGTCTTGAGATTTCATCAAACTTCCCAGAATGTCATTTAAAACTTATTAATTATTTGTTTCTGGAATTATTCATTAATATTTTTAGACTACAGTAGATCACATGAAACTGAAACCACAGAAAAGCGAAACCATGGATAAAGGGGAGATTATTACAAAGGCATTTACAAAAATATCTCAAGTAAAATTTTGCTTATGTTTGCAAATCAAGCCACACTTAGGTCACTTATGAAACCTGACTGGTTTTGTCTATTTGGAGCTTCCTCAAGCCTTGTCTCCATTTTAGTTCACTTTAACAATGATTTTAGTGTTAAGATGCTGGCAGTCACTAAATACCTAGCACAATATTCCTCTATCTAACCTCCTTGTTAGCTCCACATTGTTTCTCATCTATTTCCTTCAGACATTTTGTAAGTCATTCTACTTTTACAGGAATTTGTTTGACATATTCTTTTGAGACTTATTTCTTAAAAACCTTTTTAACAAACTCATGATAATCTCTGCTTCCAAAAGTCCTGTGATCTATTTCCCTTTCAGAATACATATGCAAAGCCAGAGATGGGGGATGAAGAGGCATTCTAAAATAACAGGATAGGCAGTGAGCTTCCACAGGTCCTTGTCGCTTACCTGGGAAAAGACTCTTGGTAAACTCTCCTAAGAGAAATCCGAGCAGCCTTGCACTTTGCAATCTTCATAGTCAACTTTGAGTGAGGAAAGATGGGAATTGGGAATCCCTAGATGAATTCTTGAAGCAGGCTTAGCCTCATGAGTCACATGCTAATTTAACATATCAGGACTTGTGGAAAGGATTAAGGATATTACAATCAAAGCATAGGAAGGTGGATTTAGAGTAAATGTAGAAAGATCACAGAGAATTTTAGAATTTTCCCAAATTCACATTTCACATATTATTAACAGAAGTTTGGTGTCTTCTTTTCATAAACTGTTTCCAACTTTTTACTTTAATTCTACCAACAACTAGACAGTAAAATTATTATTATCCATCACCCCTTTAATAGATAAGAAAACTTAAACTGCAAGAAACTAACTTACCTTACCTAACTCCAACAAGAATAGAGGAAATGAAGTTTAGCTGGGATCATAACTCCTTCTTTCATGAGTTACTTCTAGTTCATGTCATGTCCCCAAACCTCAAAATTTAAAAAAGAGGAAGCAGAGGCACTTTTTATAAATCAACTGTGTATAACTGTAGCAAAATTCATATCCTGTGTAATCATAAATACTTCACTGCGAACAGGAGAGGAAGTCTCAAAGTTTGGAAAGCAGAGCAGTGAGATGTTCTGAAGGGAACAGACAGTGGGAGGTTCTGCCTGAGAGCTCCCCTGAGGTTTTCCAGCTGACCAGCCAGCCACAATACACAGACCTGGCCTGTAAGAACTGGTATGTACCTTCGTTTGGATCATAACTTCGGGGGAGATTATGTGCTTTTGAATTTTCATTCTGTCTCTGCTTCTGAACACCTGCATGAATTGGTGGGTCATTTTCTCTTTCTGGGCCTCAGTTTACTCACTTGACAAATAAGAAAATGGGGTATAACAGTTGTTAGATCTGAGGGAATGGTTTTCTATACTACTTGCATTTCTCAGCTCATACATAAGCGTATACTCTCAACAAATACTATGTGCAGAGCTGTTGACTTCCATGTAATGATGTCTCCAAAGTAGGGATTTTAGAACTGTCATCAAAAGTTGTAGTTCACTCCAAGTTTATCTCCACCTGGTGAACATGGAGGACAGAGCATTTTCCCTCTTGTATATTTGCTGATGATGGCATCAGTTGGAAGAGATCCTTGCAAAACATAAAAAATCCTGACAATATAGAATTCATCATAAAAATAGCAACATGTATCAAAATTTAAATACCATAGCTTTAAATTGTGAAAATCTACTTCCACATGCTATACTAAAAAAGTAATTGAATAGATGAACACCACAAAAGTGCAAAGGTGTTAGTTATACTATTGTTCATAGTTGTAAAATAAAACCCTCAGTAATTATGAGCATGTGACTAATTAAATGAATCTAAAAATTTTTATTCATTTGAATATACCATTTGAATTCTTTAAACTTGTGGTAAAATGTACTTTACATTATTTTAGCATTTTAACCACTTTTAAGTATACAATTCAATGGCATTAAGAAAATTCACAATTTTATGTAACCATCACAACTGTCCACTTCCAGAACTTTTTCATCTATCCAAAATCAAACTCTATACCTAACAATTCTTCTTCATTCCCCTCTCCTCCTAGTCACTGGCAACCACCATTCTACTTTCTATGAAAATGAGTACTCTGGGTGCCTCAAATAAGTAGAATCATATATGAGGCAGTAGTTATTTCATAGTAATTGTTCCTCAACAATTACTAAGGAACTTTTTGCTTTATTCAATCTTTATTTCTTTGTAATTGAAATGGTTGCTTTATGTCCTTTTAAACAAAACAAGCAATTAAAGAATAATAATGGGAAATAAATGTACATGATGTCAGACTGTCAGCTAGAGGGCATCAATAATGTCTCCTGGTCTAATGTAGGACTTAGAATTAAGCATGATATGTAGTCCTTAAGATGAGACCCAAAAAACACAGGAAGAAATCCAGGTCCAGGGAGGCAGGTTATTAAGATTAGTAAAAACAGATCAAGTTGACATATTTGAGCTGCTGAACAAGAGGAGTAAGGCAGAAACCAAGTTCCCACAATATGGAGGCAGTTCTGGAAAGAGAGATCTTCAACCCACTTCTCCAAGGTCATAGTGTCCCTAGGGGTGGAGGTGGAACTCGTAAGTGGCATCCAAGGCTTCAGGTGCAACCAGAGACTCAGGCATCAGACTCCCTTCCTGGTGCCCTTTCTCATTTCCTCTGCTAGAAGCAAGATTCTAGGTACAATTTCCAAGCTTTATATGCTATATACTGCATCCAGGAGATCCTGGAGTTATTCCTCAAACACCAAGACACTAGGTGAGATGTCAGGGAACAGAACTGTGGCATCTTCAGATGATCACATGCCCTTAACCAAATTATAGTTTTCAGGAGGCAGAATGCCATGCCAACAACAGCTGTGGGCAGCGTTCCATAAAGCCCTGCTTCCCGCACCACAGTGGCCAAGCCACACTGCTGAGCTGGTGGGAAGCAAATGGCTTGCTCCTTAGTCTACAGTAGAGCTACCTACCACTGTTAGGAAGAAAGTAAAGGGACGATTAGGAGAATCAATGTGTTATAAAAATATTACAAAATTTTGAGCCAAATAGACTCAGTCCAGGCACCTGTCAGTTATGCAAACACAGGCTAGTAAAAAGTATATTACCAATGTGTTAAACACATTCTACCTGCCAGGCTAAGTGCTTTTTGTGGTTATTTTATTTAACCAAAAACATTTGAAATTATTAATCCTGAGTTTCTAATATACAAAGTGAATTTAATAGCATCTAAGTAGACAGGACTTAGTGGCTCATGCCTTTAATGCAAGCTAGTCAGGAGACAGAGATTGGCAGGATGGCAGCTCAAGGCCAGCTCGCAAAAAGTTAGTGAGACCCCCATCTCAACCAACAAACTGAATGTTGTGGTACACATCTGCGATCTCAACTATGTGGGAGGCTGTAGGTAGGAGGGTCTGGTCTAAGACTGCCCAGTGCAAAAACACAAGACCCTATCTGAAAAATAACTAAAGCAGAAAAAGGACTGAGGGCATAGATTAAATGGTAGAGTGCCTGCCTATCAAGTGCAAGACCCTGAGTTCAAACCCCAGTACTGTCCAAAAGTAACATCTAAGTTGCAGTAGTATTATAATGATTACAGCCATAAAAAAAATCTAGTGCTTGGAAATCAGCACAAGTTAAATAAATGCTCATGCTGATAATTAGTAAGTCAATGTGAGCAAGGGAGAGCATCCTTGGTGGGATAGGCTCTGTTTATGCAAGAAAGGATGTGGAATAATATTTATCCAATGGTTTAGTGGAAAGAAATAAGGGAACTGAGCAGTGCAAGTGTAGCATACAGTGCAGACCTGGGAGACAGGGTGTGAAGATGTACTACAGGAAAGCAGAGACATGGAGGGACACAGAAAGGAAGCTAGAAGAGGGGGAATTTAGGAGAGAGAGGGAAGTGGATATGCTCAGGGCTGCAAAGGAAGTTCTGTGTGAGTTATTCACCTCTCAATTGCAATTTTCTCCCAATAGCATGCTTCTTGGTCACCATGAATAATCTGTGCCAAGCATGCTGGCTTTCCAATGCTCCCTTGCCCCCACATTGGGTTTTGTTCCTAAAGGAACAGACTACCCTTTCTTACATTCCTACAAACTATGGTCCCTGAGAGGTGTATACCCCTAACTTACTAACTAACTGAGTTAACTGCCTTTTCCAGAGTCACCAGCATCATGCTCCTACAGCTCAGTACCAAGGGGACTTTTGAGACCTTCCCCCCAAAGGTCACTGATCTCCCTCCAAAAGAGAGAGCCGTATACACTTACCTAAAAGAAGATAAACTGAAGAATGGTCTACAAAAGGAAGCCACAGTTCTTGGGGTAAGTCCACCTCATTATAAGGGGAACCCTAAGGAAATACATTGTGAATGTCTCTAGACTACAGATGGGTCTGGGAAAATCTTTCACTTGTTTCTGGATGACTACAGACTAATCAAAACATGCAATAGCTTTATGACAAGAGTATACCATTTCTCAGGGCTTTCTATAAATCAGTTAAAACCACTAGTTCTTTTCAACCAGAACTCTACATAACTAACAAATTCATCTTTTTCACCTTTAGTAGAGATTTCTGTATGATTTTACTCAGTATGATTAAATTAGATCTTCTATTTTGAGCTTGTTTTTGTACATTTTAAGTTGAGACAATCTAGATTAATCTCACTATATATTCATTCCACATGACTAACTATAAGACACCCAAGTGTCCATCATATGTAGGACTTTACTCTCCATATGGTTCCAAATGCTCCCAGTAAAGACCCAATTCCTACTCATTCTCACCTTTGAAAATCTTCCTGACTGTGCCTTCTGGAATTCTGCATTAGTTAACAACATAATACTCTTTATTCCTCATTTTTTCTCAAAGGTTTCAATCTATTGTATAAACAGAATCTAGCTCTTGAGGGCACTGCTTCCTCAGCAACTCTCACTCAAGGTCATGGAAATAAAGTCTGCATCCACTTTGCTTCTCAGGACACTTTGAGATCACTCTTTGAGTTTATGTCTCCTTCCTAGAATCTCCCACTTTAGAAACTCATGTAATTCTAATAGGTAATTAATTCATTCCTATATGTCATTTGCTGTTTATCCATTAAGACTTTGGCTCTTAGATCACTATTATCTCCTCTAATAGAGTTTCTATCATAGATCATGACTATTTCAATATTCGTGTGGATGATCCTTTCAACTGTCAGTTCCCTGACCTCTTCTTCCCAAGTATCTTAATCATCCATTCTCAGATACACACTACTTGGGTCATTCTGTAAACCTACCATTTATAGATGTTTTGAGCATCTCTTACTGTAAGCATCTATCTCTGAACTTTCCAGACAGCTCCCTGTGAGTCTACATCAACTTTCTTTAACCTCATCAAGACTCATTGATAATATCCCTTTTTTCATAGAACATTGCCTCTTTATAGGCCCATTTCCTTCCTCATCCAGTCAAGGTGAACTCCTTCATCAGTCTTGCTCTCATCCTCCCATACCACACTCTATAGGCAAAGTAAAACATCACTTTAACTTTCTGTCCATTTGCCTACTCCATACCTGCATCCAGGCAGCTGACTTTGACTGACAACACACACACACACACACCACTTTAAATTTATGACCATAACCTCAAATAGACTGTTAATGCTGTCTAAAAAGTGCATTCTTTCTTTCAGTCATTCACTCTCCTACTACCCCAGAAAACTCTTTCATATCTTCTAACCTGTGAAGATTCTTCTTTACTCTTATTTTCTATTGATTACCTTACTTCCTATAACACCAAAAGAATTAAGGCAATCTGAATAAAATGTCAACAAGATGCCACATATCACCAGTTACTCACATTTGTGTCCACATTTATTCTATCTCCCCTTTCTATTACTAAGAATTAAATGTCTACCATCTATTTAATGATAATTCTCCCTTTGTTTACAAGATCCCATTTCTGATTACTTGTTCCAGTAATATTGCCCATTCTGTCTGCAAATTCTTAAACAATTCTATAAGCACAGTACCTTATTGCAATTTCTCCCATGGAAAACCAATACTTTTAATGAAAGTATTTTCATGAATCCTTCAGCTAATGCCCCATTTCACTATTTGTCTTTCTACCAACATTCATCTGAAAAAATAGAAAGTCTATGTTTTCTTTCTCTCAAATAATATTCTTTCTTGAATCATATCCAGTAACATTTGTTCTCTTTGTTGCACATTATAAAATTAATGTCCAAGTCTCCATTGTTAACTTTCTTGAATAGAAAATTTTTTTCAGTTGACCTCTCTCTCCTACTTAAAATACTTTATTCACCTGGATTCCAGGATATCACTCTTCTGGTTTTCTTCCTTGGATATTTCTTCTATTCCTCCTTTACTTATTTTCTGTTTATTTCTCTGATCCTAAACTTGAAGTACTCCAGAGCCCAGTCTTTGAGTCTATTCCCTTTCTATATCTGATCTACTGGCAATTTCATACATTAGTATAGCTTTAAATATTATCTTCAGTTATGACTTGGAAAAACTATATTTAAATATGGTTGCATGAATATCATCTCAGACTCAAGACTCAGATGTTCAACAATCTATGAACATCTTCAGTGGATGTCTACTAGACACCTCTCCATTAACCTGTCTTGTGGAACAGTGATATTTCTCCCCAAACCCACTCATCATGTAATAATCCTGACTTCAGATCAATGTTAACGCCATCATTTCAGTCTCTCTAGCCAACGCCTTTTATGGCAACCTTTATTCCTCTTTTTTACACCAGAAAATAAGTTTCATCTCCATAGCACACCTAGAACCTGACTACTTCTCACTACTTTTACCATTGACATCCCCTTTCAAGTCAGTATCGTCTCGCCTGTGAATTGTTGTTATACTCTCCTTGTTGATCTACCTGACCTGTTCCTTTAAAATCGATCCTAAATACAGTAGATGTAAAAATATGTTATGTCCTATAATATTTGTGCTGAAAACTACCCAAAGGCTTCCTTTTGGGCTTGGAATGAAAAGCGAAGTTAGTAAAAGGCCAAAAAATAGCTGGGTGTGGTGGTGCACACCTGTAATCATAGCTATTCAAGAGACTCAAGGAGGATCATGAGTTCAAGCCAGCCTGGACAAAGTTAGTAAAACCCTATTTGAAAAACAAACTAAGAGCAAAAGGACTGGGAATATGGCTCAAGTGGTACAGTGCTCGCCTAACAAGTGTGACAACCTGAGTTCAATCCCCAGTACTTCCAAAACAAAAAAACAAAAGATTACCTTACGAAACCCTACAATTTTCACCATGCCTTTAGTACTTCTCTAGCCTCATATCTTTGCTCTTAATTCCATTCTATTCTCCATGGAACTCATATTTAAAGGACAACGTACATATAGGATATAAGCTCTTTAAGTTTTCATTTGCTTCACTCTCTGGTTCTTAGGGCACAAAAGATATTCAATAAGTACTCATTGTATGAATGGCTGACTGCACTTAACTTTAGGTTATTTCACTTGCAATAGAGATTAAGCATTGAATTAAAGTGTGAAATCTTACTCAAACTAACAAGGCTAAAATCCCGGTTATTCCTGTTGATGTTTGTACAGGTGTGTACAAATTCCTTTAACTTCTCTGCAAAAAAGATATGATCAATAGTGCCTTGAATTTAGAAATTATTCAACAAATATAAATCATTATGATTGGTACTGTGAAAATAATAATTACTATTAAAATAAAAGGATGAATAAAGCAAGATTAATGAGAGCATTAGAAACTTGATGCTCAGTTTTATTCCAATTGAAATTGCATCCTTCATTAGCACTCCCTTGATAAGTTTGCTCTCTATCTTCACTTAACTGGCCTATTATCCAGACAACATTTATCCAACTACTTTTCAGAGAAAAATTTGTTTTGTCAAATTTATTTTTCAAAATTAGAATGTGCATATGGTCACTTCCTGATTTGCTAACTTAATAACACAGAAAATAGAGATGAGTTATACATTTCTTCCTTTTGCAACCCGCTTATTGGCTCCTTGTAACTTTTTGCCTTATTAATATGAAAAATCATAGCAAATTTTGTACTCTTTTTTATTTTATTTTATTGTGCTGGATAGGGGTACATTGTGGCATTTCCAAAGGTTACAATATGTCAAATATACCATTCTTGAATTCACCCCCTGCACCATTCTTCTTTAACTCCCCTCTCCCTATTTGAGAAATGGCTTCAACAGGTATCGTTTTTCGGTTTACATTTATGTGTACACAATACAAACAAGATATAAGCTCTTCAAATTATCATTTGCTTCACTATTTATAACCCACAGGGTATATTCAGCTAGTACATTTCCTCTACTTAAAATGTGTTCTAGATTTTCCCCTTTTGTCTGTTGTAGACTATCCAAATCCTGTGTTGCTTGATGAGTTCAAGTTTGGGGGCCATTTTGGTTTCAACTTCCTACTCCTCCCACTTCGACCCAGAATTTTTTACCACTCTGATGACTGGATACCCATTTGTAGGAGCCCTGTGTGTAAGTAGTACAGGATATCTAAGAGGGGACATGCTTTATAAATGCTAACAGGGTACTTAGTCATGGAGTGACCCAATCTCCTACAGGAAGGGAGACAGTAGAATGGCAAGACCTCAATTTCCTCTGTTTTCATCTTATATCATGTCTCTCACTTTGAAGAAGACCAGCAGAGCAGTTGAATCTATCCTTCTGAGCAGGTATCCTGAGAGGTGACCATCTGGGAAAGGAGGCAAGAGAAGAATTCAATGTCTTACCTGGCCTTACAGCATCCTGCTGGAAAAGTAGAAGTTTTCATTTCCTTTCCTAGGGCTTCAAGAGGCCATTGTATTCCCTCAGTTTAAAGAATAATTCACTTGTCAGGTAGAGAATGACAAGGCCAATTTTAAATAATGAAAGGAGACTGATAGTGGATGTCATAGGTTCACAGTCAGTTACCTTAGCCAGGATAAGACTCATGGAAAACAGAGGCATTCTTGTTGTGTTTAGAGATAATCCTGAAAAATGTTGAAAGCTCTTTTTGCTGCCTGTCATCTAATAGCTCATGAACAAGGGCCCAAGGGATCTTTTATCGGAATAATTAGAGCATAACCAACTAGGATCTTTTCTGTTTATTATCCTGTACAAAGAAGAAAAAGGCACACATTGTAGGCAGGTGGATTACATTAAGGGAGCACTTCTGCATGAATGTAGTACCTCTGTGGGCACAAACTATGCAGTCATGCAAGAAGGCCCTGCTCTTGCTCCTAAAGCATAATTTGTCCTTGACTTCTCTACCTCACCAGTGGTCATAGCCTCCACATTTCCTTAGAGGAGCTTGAGCAGTCTGTGACTACTCAATATCCAAGACACAAACTTAACCAATGTTTTAGCTTTCTGAATGTCCTCCCTGTAGTAGCTAGATCCTTAACTCCATTGGGATTAAATACTGGATCCTGGGGTTTATAATGAAAATTTCACATCTGATCCTGTCCTCCAAATTCCCTCAACTCCAAGTCTTACTGAGGCTACCTATACTAACAGCTTTATGTCCATACTTACCTGAACCTTGCCACATCAGACGCTCCTTCCTAAGTGCTTCTGTTGGCTACTCGCATCTCTCCTTCAAGTCTCTGATCTGCCTCAATCTCTTCTCTTTCAATCTGTAGGTACATAATGTTTTCTGTTCTCCAGCCCTCTTCAGCTCCTAGTGCTTTCACTAAAATAAAGTTAACCCTTTTGAGCATCTACCTATTCTTTAAAATCAATGAAAGCACCCTGAAAAAGATATTGGGCCTTCCTATCGATATGGACCCACACTGTTACTGCAGCATTATCTCCCTAGAAGTTTTCCAATATTGTTTTCTTTATTGAGTGACTAGAAGTAACATAATGGTCACATATTTCAAGACAACTGAATTAATCATTTTTCTCTTTTCTGAGCAGTTTGCTGTTAGCGGATTACTGTCAATTATCTCTGGAAAAATATCAGCCAAGCCCTTTGTAAGTATGAAGGCCATCAAGTTACAGCTGGTTGGAACTGAATGAACCTCAGAATTAATTCTTCTAATTAATTCCATTTTGTCATTTTGGGAAATGAAACTCAGAACAAGTTAAGGAGCTCTGGTTGGCCCATTGGCAGAACCAAAAGTAGAGTCCAAGTTGTCCTTTGTGTATTTGAGGGAAGCCACTTCTGAGATCAGCTTGTTTGATTTCCACATTTTATAAATGAGAAAACTGAAGCCCAGATTAGGAAGAAACTTGTTCAAGCACAGACACGAATACTAACAGAGCTATGCAGGAGTTTACATTCCCCAATTCTAACTCCTGAACTTTGATTCCAACCCAATGCTGTGAACTCTTCAAAGTTCTACTCCTGGGTTTAGACTGCACATGACAGTCTCCTACACCACCCATATGTTTTCATCCATGGCTAACCAGACCCTGTGTCTTCTAGAGTCAGGGTGTGACTTTGTCTTAAGTTACCTTTGTGGTTGAGTGGCAATAGTAACAAAGGTTACTATTGGCAGAAGCAAAGGCTTTGGCTGCTTCCTCCTATGTCTCCAAGGTTTGTGAGGGAAATAGTTACTGACTGATCACTGTTTTGTTTGTGAATGGGTAGAGAGAGGACCACAGGGACTAAGCCCACAGACCTCTGCCTCTTTCGCTTAAACTGAGGGAAGTTTAAGGTGTGTGCTTATTATATTAAACAACCATTGCTTATTAACTAGAGGTAAACTGCATGTCATTTGAAAGTTTATGTTATATTAAATAGGCCCAAGCATACTCAAGTGTATGTAACTTTCTGGTTTGCTTCCACCTATTCTTTAAAGCTGTTCTTCTATGTAAGGCAATCTTACACACTGGGCTCTCCAGAGGGGACCAAAGGCAATATTCTAGGAGCTCTTGAAGCAATGTAATGATTCTAAGGCTGTTGGGGAAGTCAAGAGAGATATTGGCAGTGGCCTGAGCACTGTCTCTGTGTTCAGTGTTACAGAGAGTCAATAGAAAGAAGCCAAAACCCCTCTCCTCAAGGGGAATAACTCATATATTCTTTCATTTGACAAGCATTTACTAATTATATTATATGATAAATTACATAGTTGAGAGGAATACAAAGATGAATAAGATACAACTTATGTCCAATTGGAGTATACAAATTAGAGGAGAAAACAAATCCAAGAAAGTGCCATACCAGCACAACAGACAGAGGGAAAATAGTATAGTGTATTGATTCTGTGGTGGCAGACGAATGCGAAATTTCTCTTGCAGGCCATGAGCAGTCTTACTTCAAGTGCAGTGAGTTCTGCTGTTGCTGGAGCAGGCTTCTTCTTCCTTGCTTGCACTCTGGTAGCCCTGGGGACTACTCCTCGAAACTGTAGTTCAGAAAAGGAGGATCTATCTTCCTTGCCTTATTTGGAGTACTACTATTCAATATATGAAGACAAGGACTGTCTCCGGGCTGGTGTCAGTATAACAGTAAGTAGTTTCAGACTAAATATCCTGTCATGTGAAATCTCATTGTCTCCTGTTCACATAATTTCTGCTTTTTCAGCAGTCTCTTGTCCTATTGGTCTGATGTCTAAAGCAAATAGAAAAAAACATAATTGAAAGAGGCCTGTTAGCAGACTGTGTGATGTGGGGGATGAATTGTAAACAGCCAAAAAAGGGAAATCAAGAAAGGACAATGGAGTATCTGCCCCTTTGGTGGACTTCCTTAAGTAACAAGTACTCCAGCCTTAATAGTTTAACTCTCAAAGTGCCCCCTTTGTTGAGCAAGTAATATTTTTTTCAACATAGGCAGAAATAATTTTCTTTATTGGAATTACATTTGAATTTGAGATTATCTCTCTTAGGTCTCTTTTCTGGGTTTCAAGCACTTACCTCTTAAAGATACGTATCTTCTAATCATTGGTGAATTTAAGACTACAAGAAGTAGGCTAAGGATATAACTCAGTGATACAGCAGTTCGCTACCATGTATGGGTTTGATCACTAGTACCACGTTAAAAAAAAAAAGACTAAGAAAAGTCACACAGTGTTTATTTTCTTCATGTGTATGCCTCTGTATGATACGTTATTAGGAACAAAATTTGAACCTTAAACCCAAATACACAATCACTATATTTTAACCCAGCAGGACTGGCAAAGAGGGAGATGGGAGCCAGCTTACCAATATTATATAAACTTGTGGTCCCTTAAGGGTAGAGATTGCTTACCTTATAAATTCTAGTAAGAGCAAAGGGAGACCAAGCCAGTATCTTTATTCACTTGCATTCATCTGTCTCACAAAACTCAGAGAATTTTTGCACTCACAGCTTCCTGTGAGTCTTTCCATGCAACCAGCAAATGTTCAAAGCAATTACTTTGATTCAGGAGCTTGAGTAAACGAAAGAGCACAGAGACCCATCTGGTTAGAAATCAGCACAAGAAACTCAAGGAGCTAATATAAACATGATGCAGGATAGATAACAGGTGAAGCAATGAGAGTGGGGAGGCATAATGTGGGATACTGGAAGGTTATTTTAATGAGAACTAATCTCATTATATCAAGACACTAAGACAACCACAGCCAAAAAGATCTTCCTGCAATAACAATGAAGTTGCAACATGGCAGACTGACCCCACCCCAAAGGGTCACTCCTTAACAAAGCAATAACATGGACAAATGTAACAAATTTTAAAACATTAATATGTATCCAAGATGGGAAGAAGAAAGGGAGGGTGGAAGAAAGGAAGAAATCAAGAAAGAAAGATGGGCCTGGCATGGTGGCCATGTCAGTAATCCCAGCACTAGGGAGGCCAAGGAAGGAGGATCACAAGTTTTAAGGTCATCTTGGTCAACACAGTGAGACTGTCTCAATAATAAAATAGGAAAAAATGTCCTAGGTTCCAGAACCCAAAAAGAATTTTAAAGCAAATACGTTAAATTAGAGCAGAAACTAGAAAACCAGTGAAGTCAGCACAAGAATATTGGTGTTAGAGGCCTAGTGACCAATTTCATAATTACACATGAAATAGGGGAACTTAAAACAAAGGAATTGTTTCAGTCAGACTTTTTGTCACTATGACAAATACCTGACACACACGACAAAAGAGAGGAAAGATTTATTTTGCCTCATGGTTTCAGAGGTTTTATTCCTTGGCATTTTGGCTCCATCACTTTGGACCTGGGGTGAAGCAGAACATCAAAGCAAAAGGATGTAGAGGAACTAGAGAAAAGGTTAGATCAAGAAGAATTAACCTAGAAGGTAACATCAAGCACAGGAAATCAATGAGAGCCAACTCCCTGTATAGCTATATTTATCTCAGATAGCAAAAACCCTTGTTCCTTCCTATTATTCCTTATACTCTCTCTTCAACAAAATTAGAGATAAGGGCAAAATAGTTTCTGCCGGGTATTGAGGGGGTGGGGGGGAGAGGGAGGGGGTGAGGGTGGTAAGGAGGGGGAAGGGGGAGAAATGACCCAAACATTGTATGCACATATGAATAAAAAAATAAAAATAAAAATAAAAAGGATGTGGAGGAGGCAGCAATTCATCTTACGGCAGCCAGGAAGCAAACAGATGGGAAATAGGATAGAGCAAGAGAGAAGACATATCTTTCTAGTGACCCACATATCCCAACCCAGCCCCACCTTTTATAGTCCCACCACCTCCCAACAGTCTGTTCAAAGTTTGAACACATCCAGCGGATTAACTCACAGATGAAGATTCAATCTCTTCCTACCTCTAAACACTGCTTGCATCAATCAGGTCTTCAGTGCATGAGATTTTTAGGGGAACACCTCATATCCAAATCACAATAGGAATTGAGTTGAAGACTGCTTCTGGATCTGAGAAACGCTGAAAGTCCTGGCAGAATCTAACCTAAAGCTTCCACCCAGGGAGATGTCAATGAACCCAGCCAATAAGACTCTTACCCATCACAGAATTCTACCTCCACCTCGATGTAACTACTTAAATTATCTAACAATAACAATATTATGAAAAATATATATGAAAATAGCAGCAGATGGAGCAAAGATGCAAGTCAGTACCCTAAGAACTGGAGAGAATGTAATAATTTGAATATGGTGATAATAAAATATGTTAAATGATTAAAATTATATTTAAATGATCATTTCAAATGGTTTTAAAATACATTGAAAAATTTTAAATGATACATTTTAAAGGACTTAAAATTTATTTTAAATAAAACACAACTAAAATTAAAATGAAAGAACAGAACAATAAGAAAAAAGGACACATGAATTTGGGAAAGAAGTAAATAGCATGATCACAAATGAACATTATGGTCTTTGAAGTTAATAACTGAGCAGATTAGTTTAGATTCCATATACATCTAACCAAGTTCTTGTAGGAGAGTATGGGAGAGATGGGGTATGCAAAATAGAAATAACAAGAATTTTTTAGAATTAAAGAAAGGCATGAGATTTCAGATATAAGGAATGCACTGAGACCATGGCAGGATAAACAAAATCAAATCCACACCTAGAAATATTGTATGAATAAAAAACATCAAAGACAAATAGAAAAAATGAAAGCAACCAGAAATAAATGGCAGATTACACTTATCTGTTGTTATGTGAAATACCAAGGTTCTGAGATGAAACAGTCCCTACTTATTTCCCTTCCCTGTTAAGAAACCTGAAAGAAGAAACAGGTAAGAGGATTAAACAATTTTCTCTCTCACTTGTCATTTCCACTGGGAAGACTTCATCCCCAAGTCTCCTCTCAGTCAGGTACAAGGGTTAGTACCAGGTACCAACCATTTATATCTCAATTTGCAGGGCATTCTAGTGGTGATGCTTGTCTTCACAGTGCTGGAGATTTTGCTAGCTGTATATTCTTTTATCTTTTGGTGGGAACAGGTCTACTCCAACAGCCCTAAGGTGAGTATGCTGACATCTCACATGACATCTGATGTGTCCTAAGTCTGAACTATGATGATCCAGGCCCAAAATGTAGAACAAAGAAGAGTCAATAATTGGTCTTGAGATACATGTTAACATGTGACTTTTTAGATTGAAAAATGAGTTCAATGAGTAGGCTTCTACACAAGGATCCTCTGGTCTGGGAGCAGCTGGTGCTTATGAGGCAGTAGATCAGTTAGAGAATTGCAAGATATGAAGCTAGTTGCTTTTAGAAGTCACCTGACCCTACTCCTCATGAAATAACTAAAGCTTGGATGAATGACATGGAGAATGAACAACACAGACTAATGAGCTGAGAATGAGAACTTGTAGACCCTTGTTCTTATGGTGAACACAGCCAACTGCCTCCTAGAGTCTCCATACCAAATTCCCTTGCTAATGTGATTTTATAAGGATTTCTCTGTTCTGTATATGCTTTCCTGTGCTTTTCCTTATTTGTTCTTAGCTTTCAAAATAATTTTAAAATGTTCTTACTTCTCTTAAAATCTACAGCAAAAAAAGAAAAACTGTATAGGGTTTGTATGAATTAGGATTTAGCTAGATCCCATTAGAAAATAAAAAAATGATTACCAGGCTGGAGAATGGCATTTGCTTAAACTCATATTGCTATAATTATATATTATGGTAAAGTTGGAAGAGCTACTACTACACAGTATTTGGGAGAATATATTACAATTATTTAGAAAAAATCTCCCCCAAACCAAAGTTTAAAAGCTACTTTGCTAGTCACTTTTTCTTTGGTGTGACAAAATTCCTGCAAAAAGTCAACTAAAAGGAGAAAAGATTTATTTGGCTCATGGTTTCAGAGGTTTCAGTCCACATCTGGCTCTCTCTATTGCTTTCAGTCCTGTGTCAAGGCAGAAATATTATGGTGAAGGGCACAGCAGAGGAAAACTTCTCATCTCATAACACCCAAGGAGGACAGAGAGACCAAGGGAACAGAGACAAAATACACCCTTCAAAGGCACAGCCCCAGTGACCTAGTTCCTCCAACAGCCTCCCCTCCTGTTAGCCCATTCAGCTTTTAACTCTATCAACCCATTGATGAGGTTAGGTCCTCATTGTCCAATCACCTCTCAATGGTGCCACCAGCTGGGGACCAAGCTTTTAACACCTGAGCCTTTTTTCGGGGGGACACTTCATATCCAAACCATGCTAGCTACTAACAAATTTTATCATTTCTAGAGTGCGTTTTTCTTGCACCAGTCACAAGATCATGCCCAACATGTCAAAAAGAGTTCTCCAAAGTCATGGATATGAGCTATTGTTGGCACCAGTGGAAAAAGAAGAAGCCCCAATTCTCATGGCAAAGTGTAATTAGACTTTCCTAAAATTTATGCCATTTTAGACACTGAAATAAAGTTTTGGAAAGTTTCATTTTGTATTTTCAGTATGAGTAATTTTACCTCCCTTGAAAATAATTTCTCCAAACCCCACATCAGTAAAAGTTTGTTAGCCAGGGTTCAAAGTGCCCATAAATTTCTCCATGAAACTGAGCAGAAAGTGTTTTATGTATCTCTGTATTAGAAGAGAAATAACACACTCTTATGCTAATTATGTGGTTATGCAGGACTTATTTCTGTATTGTATTATTTTCACACTTGCACTGCTTAAACATCAGCTATTAGGGATTGCATGGGCAATTTTAAATCCTTTGAAAATATGACTCATTTCTGACTTATTTGATGACTTTAGGCTTAAATGTTTAGATGTGAAGAACATAATTAATCATATATGCTCCCTCATCTGAGTTCTAGACCAAATAAGAAATTAGTCATATAGAAATATCAACTTTATTACTGTATTGGAGAAACTAGCATAAACTGCCAAATAAAAGAGTCCCTGATATTGCTCCCTGCCTCCAAATGCCTGTAAACATAATAGACAAAAGCTAGTATATTCAGACAATAGAGTATTATACAGAAACACAGAAGGGCAAAGCACAATTGCATGCAGCCATATAGATCAGTCTCAGGAACATAATTTTGAGAGAAACTCCATGGAGAAAGGAATAAATGCTGCATAATTCTACATATACAAAATTCAAATGCAGGTAAAACTAATGTATGGTGTCAGAATCAGGGCAGTGGTTAATTCTGGGGGTAACCATTGGAAGGGGAGTGCATGAGAGCCTCTGTGTTCCTGGAAATATTCTTTTTCTTGATCCAGGTGTTGTACATTTATGATTTGTATTTTCTTGTTTCTGTGTTACAATCGAATAAAAACATTTTGAAAAAATGCAACTTTTGACCTCTTGTTCACTCCTTCTTCATAGTCAAATCCCTTTTTTAAAAAGTCATCTCCTGGGGGATTCCAAGATGGTGGCTAGAGGGAGGAAGCAGAAAGCGAGCCTCCTATAGTGAAATCTTGGAGAGACGCTGAAGACACACTTTGCAGGCATAATCACTGAGAAGAGGCATAACTTTGACCCCTCCACACCTCCAGCCAGCACAGAGAATCTCCACTTCACATTAAACAGAGAAACAAGGAGGGCCCCCGGGCCGCCAGTCGCCTGCGGCCAGATGGCTTGGGAAGACACGGACCAGGTGAGCTTTGTGGTACTGCGGTACTCCCACAGACAAGCCTGGGCCAGAGCAGCATAGCCCCCTGAACGGACTGACCTCCACCTGGGGAAAAAAGAGAAACTGAGTAATAAGCAATAAGAACAAATAAGACACGCAGGAAAGAGGGTGGGGCGCCCTGAGCGTATTGTTTTAGTTTCTGCTTATCATGGAAGACTTTTATTGCTCCATCTATTTTGAATGATAGTTTTGTTGGGTAGGGTATCCTGGGGTTGAAGTTATTTTCATTCAGTGCCCATGCTCTTCTTGCTTTTAATATTTCTGTTGAGAAGTCTGCTGTGATTTTGATGGGTTTACCTTTGTATGTTACTTGTTTTTTCTCTCTTACATCCTTCAATATTCTTTCCTTAGTTTCTGAACTTGTTGTTTTAATGATGATATGTTGTGGGGTAGTTCTATTTTGATCTGGTCTGTTTGGTGTCCTGGAGGCCTCTTGCATCTGTATGGGAATATCTTTGTCTAGATTTGTGAAATTTTCTGTTATTATTTTGTTGAATAGATTATGCATTCCCTTTGCTTGCACCTCTTCTCCTTCTTCAATGCCCATGATTCTCAAGTTTGGTCTTTTGATGGAGTCGGTGATTTCTTGCAATTTCTTTTCACAGGGTTTGAGTTGTTTAATTAATAGTTCTTCGGTTTTTCCTTTAATTACCATTTCATCTTCAAGTTCTGAGATTCTGTCTTCTGTTTGTTCTATTCTGCTGGATTGGCCTTCCGTTTTGTTTTGCAGTTCTGTTTCGTTCTTTTTTCTGAGTTTTTCCATATCCTGGGTGGTTTCCTCTTTAATGTTGTCTGTTTTTGTCCTGAGTTCATTTATCCATTTATTCATCGTGTTCTCTCTTTCACTTTGGTGTTTATACAGTGCTTCTATGGTTTCCTTTATTTCTTCTTTTGCTTTTTTCAAATCTCTAATTTTTGTTTGTCCCTTGGAATTTCTGAGTGTCTTCTGTTAACATTTTGGTTGACCCTATCACGTATCATCTCTATAAAAATTCTTCATTGATACTGTGTTATGTCTTTTTAAATTATTCTTTGTAGGCTTCCATTGGGGGAAGGGAATCTTCCCTGGGACTGTAAATAACAAGTGGGCCGGAGAGGCTCTGGTGGGAACGGGGGGCGGCACGTGCCCAGCAACAGGAGCAGGAAAGCTTGAGAGTGGTGGAGGGAGGAAAACTCCACAGGAGAGGAGGGAAGACCCACTTCCCACGTGAACTGTAAACAAACATGGGCGGCAGAGCAGCAGCACGCCCAGTAATCAGGAGCAGGAAAGCTTGTGAAAGTGGCGTGGAGGAAAAACTGCACAGGAGGGGGGGAAGACCCACCTCCCACATGAACTGTAAATAAAACGCAGGCCTGACAACGGGCAGTGTCACCTTTCCCAGTGCTTGGAAAGGGGAAAGCTTATAGCAGAGGCTCCCGCACAGGAGAACTCTGAGCAAACAAAGCCTGTGGGCCAGGTGAGTGCTAAGCTCACCCCAGAGATCTGCATAAATAACGCCCCAGCACAGGCTGAAGCAGCAGGCAGGCAAGCCACAGTGCAGATACCATTCTCAGAACTGTCTCCAGACGCTTTTTTTTTCTTTTCTCCCTACCTTTGATGAGAGAACAACCGAATTACACCTGCAAGCTGAAAAACTTACTGAAACTGTATTGCATTTGAACTTGGGACACTTGGTGGGTTTTGTGTGTGTGTGTGTGTGTGTGTGTGTGTGTGTGTGTGTGTGTTTTGTTCTACTTTATGCGTCCCCTTTGATGAGACAACTACAGAACAACATCTGAGGCACCATCTCCAGGACTGGAGACTGAGACGGACACCCAAAATTATTAAGGACTTCATTGCATTTTTGGTTTTTTGGTGTTTTTTTTTTTTTTATTTTCTATTTTCCATTTTATTTTAATTCATTTTTATATATAGATATTTCTTTCATTTACTTATTTTTTATTTTTATTCTTATCTTTTTTTTATTTTTGATTTTCAATCCTCTCTCTGTCTCTCTAATGTCTGTTCAGCTTACTGTCGATTAGTACACTAACACTCCCTGTTTATACCTTTGAAACTTTCTTGTCTGATACCTTGTTCTGCTTTCTCCTCTTGTCTGTGTATTTGTTTTCCCTTTTCTTTAACTTCTTGCTTTCCATCTCAGCTCACCCTTCCATTCTAAATATTACCATTGTTATTATTACAAGCTAGAAAATACTTAATTGCACACAGTACAGGGACAGTAACAACACCAAAGACAATGACGGGAAGACAGAAAAAACAGGGAAACCAGTTTCCCCACAGCAAAAAATTAGTACAGGAACCAGAGGGGAATGAAGAGAACAGAAACTCAGATCCAGACTCCAAAAAATGAAGATAAACTATGCCAAAGGACCCAATGAAGCACACAAAAATAATTTAAAAGAAGACATACTACAGGTACTCAATGAGAATTTTATAGAGATGATACTGGATAGGGTCAACCAAAATGTACAGGAGACACTCAAGAAATTCCAAGACAACAAAAATAGAGAATTTGAAAAAGCAAAAGAAGAAATAAAGGAAACCATAGAAGCACTGTATAAACACCAAAGTGAAAGAGAGAACACGAATGAATAAATGGATAAATAAACTCAGGACAAAAATAGACAACATTAAAGAGGAAAACAGCCAGGATATGGAAACCAGAAAAAAGAACGAAACAGAACTGCAAAACAAAACGGAAGGCCAATCAAGCAGAATAGAACAAACAGAAGACAGAATCTCAGAACTTGAAGATGAAATGGTAATTAAAGGAAAACCGAAGAACTATTAATTAAACAACTCAAGACCTGTGAAAAGAAAATGCAAGAACTCACCGACTCCATCAAAAGACCAAACTTGAGAATCATGGGCATCGAAGAAGGAGAAGAGGTGCAAGCAAGGGAATGCATAATATATTCAACAAAATAATAACGAAAATTTCCAAATCTAGAGAAAGATATTCCCATACAGATGCAAGAGGCCTCCAGGACACCAAACAGACCAGATCAAAATAGAACTACCCACACATATCATCATTAAAACAACAAGTTCAGAAACTAAGGAAAGAATATTGAAGGCTGTAAGAGAGAAAAAACAAGTAACATACAAAGGTAAACCCATCAAAATCACAGCAGACTTCTCAACAGAAAATTAAAAGCAAGAAGAGCATCGGGCACTGAATGAAAATAACTTCAACCCAGGATACCTACCCAGCAAAACTATCATTCAAAATAGATGGAGCAATAAAAGTCTTCCATGATAAGCAGAAACTAAAACAATATGTGACCACAAAGCCACCACTACAAAAGATTCTGCAAGGGATTCCTGCACACAGAAAGTGAAACCCAACTTAACCATGAAAAGACAGGCAGCACCAAACCACAGGAAAGAAAAAGCAAGACAGTAGAGAGTAACTCAATTAGGTACACACAATCAAACCTTCAAACAACTAAGACAACTAAATGACCCACATACCTATCAGTACTAACGCTTAATGTTAACGGACTTAATTCACCCATCAAAAGGCACCGCTTGACGAAATGGATTAAAAAGGAAGATCCAACAATTTGTTGCTTACAGGAGACCCATCTACCACAGAAAAAGCATAGGCTTAGGATGAAAGGCTGGAAGAAGATTTACCAAGCCAATGGCCCAGAAAACAGGCAGGAGTAGCAATACTTATCTCTGACAAAGTAGACTTCAAACCTACATTGATCAAATGAGATAAAGAAGGACATTCCATACTAATAAAAGGGGAA